TTTTCCATCTTTTGTTTGTTGTAAATCTAAATAAAATTATTCATCTGTCTCTTCAAATAACAACTCATCTTCCTCTTAAGTAGTTCCTAATTTATGTAACATCAATCTATAAGGTCTGAATTTATCATCATATTAAGTATATACTAAATGCATATTATCTTTAGTAAAAGCTGCATCAAAACAATCAAATAATTTTGTCCTAAATACTCTATCATCATCTATGTATTTCATTAACCAAACAATATCTTCATTATTTAATAAATCAATTCCAAATGCTATTAATTTATGATCATCAGAAATTTTTAACTTTGTTAATTTCATTGTTGCATGATATTATTTCAAAAATTAAATTTTTTTTAAGTCTAAAACTATTTCTTTCTCACTTCCTTTTAGAGATCTTTCAATTATTTAATAATCATTTCCTGTATCAAAATATGCAAATCTTCCATTATATTCATATTCATCATAAAACTCAGGAATATCATGTGTTCTTCCATCCTTTCTACCATAAGACACTTAATAATAATCATTAAATATTTCTTTTATTTAAGGTTACTCAAAAAATAAGTTTTTTATTTTTGTTTCATTATCTATAAGAGGTTAAAGTGACTCTGGACTATTGTTATAAAATTAGTATACTTTGATTTTAAATACCAAAAATGATCGATATATTGCCTTCCATGTATTAATTTAGAAGCTTCTTTAATGAGACGTGAAAAATTCAGACCTCTCTTAATAATCATTAATATTAATTTATGTAAATTAATTACAATTTTATATCTAAATATAATTCTTCATTCTTATTCATTTTCTTAATGAGCACTATCAGAGTTAATATTTTATTATAATCTTCTTTGTTGAACTGCTTCCTTAAGAAATTATAATTTCTCTCTATATTAATTAATTTCTATTTCTTATTCTTCAATCATTTAATCAAGTTCTCTCTCTTCAGGTTGATCATTCATTTACTCAATTTAACGACATTTCAAATCCTCTTCATCTTATAATAATTTAATCTCTCTCCTCAAATCATTAATCTCACTAATCAAATCTACATTCTAACTCATAATTCTATTATTATCCTATTTATGAACTCTTAATTTCTTAGAAAACTTCTCTTTTAATCCTTTATTTGTAGTCTCTAAATGTGCTCTCTCTTTAATGAACTCCTTTTATACATCCACATTTTCAAATTTCTTCTTTGAAACAACACTTTAAACATATTTATTAAATAACTTAAGCATATCAGATTTGAGTCTCTTAAAATCCTTAATTATAATAAATATTTATTACATCTAAATGTGGATGAGTTTCTGAAATATCATATTCAAAGGCTTTAATATATTAAGAATTGCTTTCAATAATTTATTATTGATTTTCAATTTCTTATTTCATACCTGCTTATCTCAAATTTAAATCAGTTACAATCAATCCAAGATTTGCATTAACCTTTTTAAAATGCAATATTTCTGTATTCATATTAGTAATTTATTCTTTCATTTTTGTAATCTCTTCTTCTCTTGGTCCAATATCTCTTTTCAATTCTTTTATTTTATAATCCAATACAAATTTAAACTTTTCTAATTCTTATGTTTTTTTCTTTAATTCATAAATACGTTTCTATTTATCTTATATTGTTTTATCTCTTTCTTTTATTTCTTTATCATGACTCTCTTTTTCTTTTTGATATTATCTATTTAATTCTTAATTTTATGCAATATCTTCCATAATCTCTTTAACTTTTGAATTAGCTTATTCTAAAGTAGATTAAACATTATCAAACTCAGTTTTTTTAGTTCTTTTTTCCAATTCAGCTTTATCTAATTCATCTGATAGTTTCTTCATTTCAGCCTCATTAATCTCTTTTTTTTTATCTATTTCTTTCTCTGCATCATCTTCTAATCTATTTCTTTCTTCTATGAATCTTTTTTAATTTTCTTCCTTATCTCTTTATAATTATTCATATAATTCTTATTCTTTTCTTAATTATTTTTCATATTCTCTTTTCTTTTCATTTTTAGTTTCTGTACTCTTATCCTTTTATTCTTTAATATATCTTTAAAATTCTTATAGTTTCAATTATTTCTCTTTGGTTAATTCTTCTAATCTTTAAGATTCCAATGCCATTTTTTATTTGAAATCATTTTCAGTAGTTTTTTTATTCTTTTCATGATTTTCATAAAGTTATTTCTTTTCTTCTTTGAAATCACTCTCTAATTTATTAATAGCACTTTCTAATTCTTAAATTTTAGCTTTTTCTCTTTTTTCCAATTAATCAATTTATTCTTCTAATTTTCTAATCGCTTCATCTTTTTCCTTTGTATACATATTCTATTTAATCTTTTAATTGATATCATGTTCTTTAATTTTTTATTTTAAATCCTCTATTTTTGCAATCTTCTTTTTATATTAATCTCTTTGCATTAAAAATTCATCAGCATAAGCTTAAACACCATAAGCTTATCCTCCATCTTTAAATTCAATTTTAGAATTCTGATCTTTAACATCATAAATAATTAAAGAATTATCATAAGAAGCAGTAAAAACATAAGAATCATCATATGATACTTTCATCTAAGTAATACCTTTAATATGTGGTTATATTTCTATGATTTCTTCAGGTGCAAGAGGATATTTGGCAAATCTTAGACCTCCTGGTTCAAATTTCATATTTTTAATGTTTTACTTTTAAGTGAATTCAGATGTATTAGCCAATTAACAAGTAGCAAATAACATAATTTTTTCACTATTAAAAATTGCCATTTTACTTACTCTACATCCAGTTTATATGGGATATAATGGAATTTCCTTCTTTGTACCTTCAGTTGCTTCCTTTTAAATCTTTGTATGATGTTAAGATTCATAAATACAATATTATCCATCATACGGACCTGCTATATAAACTTTTTATAATTCAATATTTGCATAAGTTTTTGGAGTACAAATACATTCAATTGGTTAAGATTAAATCATAGCCAATTATAATTTATTTTAATTATCTTCTAATCTCCAATAAAGTACAAAACCATTATCACTTCCAGTATAGAATCCTAAATCATCAATATCCCATTCAATAGTTGAAATATTTCCTGTTGATTATTTAAATATATAATTTTATGGATTTTCACCTGTATAAAATTAATAAATTTAAACTAAATTTTAATTAGCTACTGCAAATAAATGACCTCCATGAGCAAATTTAATTTATTGACAATTCTTTATATGAATTTCTTTAAATGAATTTAAATCTTTTTCAAATAAATTGTAAAGTACAATTTTATCAGAAAATGAAACAATCAAATGAAATCCAGAAGGATGAATAGCTACAGCTAATGGTGTATCTTCACATTCTTTCATTACTTCTAATATTAATTCATTGAAATTCCAAATTCTAATACTTCTATCATCTGATACAGTAACTACTAATGATTTTCTTGTGCAAACATCTAATCCTGTAATTGGTCCACTATGAAATGGTGCTATTAAATGATCAAATTTAATCTCATCTTCATTTGCTACTTCTCTATCTGCACTAAAAGGAATGCTAAACACTTAACCAGATTCAACACCAAAAATAAGATTATCTTCTTAATTTGTAAGACATAAACTTGTAATTTTTGCCATTATTTGTTTATTTTATATTCTTTTATCAATTCGAACATATGGATTTTTAAGATCACCTTCATGTTTTCTATAAATGTAGATCATGCAATCACTTCCACCAACAATAAATCCATTTGAATATTTTACTATACATTCTATTGGAAATCCTTCAATTGATTATTAATTTGAATTTTAAAGAGGTGATAAAACTAGTTTGAATTCACAATTCTCATTAAAATATAAAACTTCTCCTCTATCTGTTCCTACCACCATTGTCTTAGAATCACTTAAAATACAATAAGATAGGAAATTAGTTGAATGGGTTTCCTTATAAAAAATAATATTAAATGCTTACTTCTTTCTTCTTTTAGAAAGGGGAATCTTTTGGTTTTGGAGGATTATCTAATATTAATTTATAAGGTTTAATAGCTCCATTTCCCATAACACATACAAAATCATCTTCTTTAGGATGATAAAAAACTTAATGGAATTTAATCGAGTCCCCTTTAGCATTTATTATTGTGCTTCCTAAACATTTTGATTTATCCCATGCCCAATGAATCAACATTTATTCTGGAGGGGCACTCAATGCTACTAAATATTTTGATTCTTCTGTCCTTGAAAAATCAAGACTCACATAATAACGTGATTTGCAATCTGTAGTACTCAATATTTTTGTTTTACGAGTATTTAAATCTAATATTACTATTATTCCTGCATCACTCTCTTCTGACCATGCAATATATCTAAATACAATTTTTAAATCTACCTTCTTGATTATGACATTGTTAAACATGTAACACCTTTACTCCCTAATACTGTCTGAATAATTTCCTAAGACTTATTCTTATCAGCAATAGGATCAAAAATCACTATATTATTTGCTGCAGGATAGATGAATTTTGTTTTAGTGGATTTCTCCTATACATTTGTCTATGTCCCTTACAAGATTGAGTTTTTGATGTCACCTCTAAAACCAAAGACATATTTTAATCCCAAGACTTCCTTCAATGGTTTCGGTTACTTATTTTCTGTTTGAGACATTATATAATTCAATTAATAAATCAGATTATTTGAATTACTATTCAGATCAAATAATAAAACGTGGTTCATATTTTAAGTACTTCTATTTATATTATTAGAAACCTATAACATATAATAAATTCTATTGGTTTCTGCTCTTTTCATATCTAATAATGTTAAAAATATATTGTTCTTGAATTTTATAGAATATTATTGAAAATAAATAACTCAATTTTCTATTGTTTCTTTTTCTCAATCTCTAATACTTTACTATTCGATTTCCCTTTTGAAGATTAAATGCTTTATGTATTGATTTTATGAATAAAAATTATTGAATGACAAAAAATTATCATTTGAAAAACGCTTAGTATAAATCACTATGTGACTAATGTCAATTGTGTGATTTCATATAAACTTTCCCTTAAAATAGGGAAAGCTTAGCTGAAGTGTTTATCATCGTACAAGTATTCTATTATTTCAGATGCTTCATAAAGTAATTCTATTTTCTATAAGTGTTCTTTAACTAAAGTAAGTTTTTATGTTATTTAAAACAACTCGTTTATTTTTTCTTACAAGTATCCTCCCAATGAATGAATATCTCCAACGAGTTCTAAATATAGGGACAATCGTTATAAAATGAAATCTAATCTTTGTGAAGTGAGTCTTTCACTGAACCTCCATTCATTACTCTATCTTCTTGATCTTTTGGTGTGACAAGCTCCCATTTTCAATTTTCGTTTTAAACTTTTTATGGATTAAATTTATTGATAAAATCCTTATTAATTCAAGCCTATTTGAATATATCATAGATTCTTAAAATAAAAAGTAAAAAGACTATTCAAATATACTATAGATAGTAGAGTTTAAGTTATTAGTATGAATAATTAAAAATATATAAATCATTTTTTAAAGTAATTCTTTTAGGTTGTTTTGGACATGATTGATTTTAAAGGACTTACAGATCTCTATTACTTTTTGACTGTACATTATTATGGACTTTATTATGCATTTAATATCTAACTGTTCTCAGTTAATAACAGCAAATTTTTGGTTATATTAAGTTCATTTTATTAATTGTTTTCAGATGAAGAATATTGAGATCTTCTTATGTCTTCAAAAAATGTGAAAGTCTTATAATCATTTTTGACATTTTCTAAATCAATTTCAAATGTTTTATTTTTAGTTGAATTCTAATTAGCAAATTATTAAACAGTTTGATATGTTTGACGACTTTAAAAATTACGAGAATAAATTTATGGACTAAATGAAGGTGTTATACTTTTTTTAATTTTTAATAAATTCTATTCTTTCTCTAACTATTTATCTTTTAATCTATCATAAAAAGGTTGTACTACCATCTATACAGATTTTTTGTTTATTTTAGGAGAACAACTTCTGTTATTAATTGAGTCTTCTTTTTACTTAATTAATTATTATATTTGTTTTTCCTACATATTATATGTATTATTTATACAGTTTTATTTTTGTAGTCTATATTATCTTTATAAAATTAATCTGGAGTACGTATTTTTTAATCTTTATTTAATATTTATGGATGAAATGTAGCACCATCCAATTGATCCTATTCTCTTTTCTAATCTAATTGTTTCTTCTATTCTTCTATCCACTTCCATTTTGCCTTTTACAATAAAGTTTATCTTTCATGTATGTCTCCAATCCAATTAATTTACTTTTATTAAGTTTATTAATCTTAACTCTTGAATTTCAATTCTTATTCCTTTTCAAGGTATTTTTTTTTATTTATTTCATACTCTTCAAATCTCTATAATTATAACCAACTTTTGTGTTGCATTTGTGATTGTTTCATTAATTATTAACAGATAATTTAAATATAAACATTTTCATATATTGAATCCCATATAAGCAGATTTTCCAAAACTTCTTTACTTAGGTTAAGATTATTGGGTCTTTATTCTCCTGGAATTGTCACTAAATAAAGTCTTTATATGCTATAAATTCTCTTCTTATTTCTATTGCATTTCAATCATGTGATCCAACCTTTCAAGCAAAGCATTTCTTTCCTTCATGATAACCCAAAAATTACTTAATTGCCTTCACATTTATACTTTTATAAATTATCAAATAGTAATTTATTCTATAATTCTAATTTTTCAGATTTTTCTCTCAATTATGAGATCTATTAAGTCAAAGTATCTAGTTTATTTTCAAGATTTTTTTCTCTTAAAAAGGCATTGGCATTCTAAATGACATCTTTTTATTAAAATCCTATCATTGAACTTACATGATTTAAATGACATGGTTTTTTTAAAGTTTTTTACAAATCCTCATTAGATTAATGCCTTATTTTATGGATTGCCTTTTCAGAACTTTAATTTCTAAAGCTCTACCATCCTGAACAAGGAGATTTAGAAACAAATTTCTCATTTTTTACAATCTTTGTATCATCAGCAATATCAATTAATTGGATTTTTGATTTAGAATTTTTTTTCATAAGTCTTTGTAGTATTTCTTAAGTGTTAAGTGGTGTTTATTTGACAACATTTCTAGGGGTAGGCTATTAGGGTTGCTTATACATTTTGATAAATTTTTGATTAATTAATTATCTATTTAATATATTAATTTTGATGGCTCAAAAGTTTTATAAATTAAAAGTATAAATGACAATCTTTTTATATGAAAGATTATGATTATTCTAAAATATTATTAATCCATATTATTTTTATTTTTTTTATTTTGTATTAGAAAAAGAATCATTATAGAAAACAATATAGTAATAGATATCTATTCATATAAATAAGTATATATAGATACCTATTTTGATTCATTATATTTTTATAAGTGATAGACACTTCTACAAATTCATTTTTTAACTCATGCTTGAAAATAAAATATGAAATAATTTATTCTAACTAGTTATTATAATTAATTGTTTAATGAGAAAATGATTAAATACTTAATGTATTATAATAATAATAATAATAATAATAATAATAATAATAATAATGATGATAATAATAATCATGATAATAATAAATTGATAGAATACTTTTATATTGAATAATATAATTTTTATATATCAAAGGATAATTAAATAATCTATTCTTTCTTCTTAAGATTATTATAAATATTTAACATTATAATAATTTTGATAGTAAATGAAATAAACCATTTTGAAATAGAGATTTTCAATTTGGTAATTTACTCAATTTATTTATAGCTAATGTAAGAACAATATTTATCGATAAGTTTGATCAAAATTTTATTATTTTGGAATCATTCTTATAATTTAATTTTATTTTTTTTATTATGGCTGCTTATTCCTTTGGAACATCTCATCAAAGACCACCTCCTAAAGTCGAATAAGCTCCTGGAGTAGGGGTATGAATAGCATAATACATTAGAACTACAACCCTGATCGATATCCTCATTAAAAACCTCCTGCTTGGAAGTAAACATTAATCAGTTAAACATAGAATTGGAACTGCCAGTAGAATAGGATAGCAAATAGCTTTTCAACCTGGACCAGGTCAATATGAACAACTCCAAAAAGCCATCGTAAAATTATATATCTTATTTTACAGAAAAGGAAAAAGCCTGAATTCTCTATGGGAGCTAAATTTTAAAATCACACAGAAGTGGGCAAAGGAATCACACGTAAACATCTTATTCACTTTTAGCTGGACCTGGTGCATACAATCCAGATTTTAAACCATTACAAAAGTGTGCTTCCAGTTATAGTATGAGGAATAAACCATAATTGGGAGGAATTGATGACAATTTAAGGGAGCTAAAGAATGGTCCTGGTCCTGCTGCTTATGAGACTAATTATTCGACTATTCTAAGCAGACCTGCATCAAGAATAGGGAATCAAAATAGAGGAGGTTTCTATGATACTAAGCCATATATTCCAGGAGTTGGTAAGTATAATGTGCGTCCAGCAACATCGGGACCATATCATAGATTTGAAAATGCATTAAGGGATTCAACATTTACAGAAAGAGTATAGACTCCAGGACCTGGATAATATTTACATCAATCACATTTGAATCTCAAAGCAACCACTATAAGCTCTAAGCGTATGCCTACAGCAACTGATTCTGCTCCAGGTCCTGGTCATTATGATCCTTCCACTGATTTCACAAAGCGATCTGTTCCTGGTGGAAGAGTTGGAACTGCAAAATAAAGATAAGTGTTTGATGCACATTACACTCCTGGACCTGGACATTATCAATCTTAGAGTGCTACTAAGAGAAGACCTCCAAGTTATAAAATTGGATCAGAATAAAGGAGACTTGTAAATTAATAGGAAGTGCCAGGTCCTGGAACATATGATATAAGTAGAGATGGAGGAAGTAAAGGTTATACACTGAGACCAAAATATACAGATAGATTACCAGATGGAACACCAGGTCCATTGGATTATCATCCCAACGTCTCATAAACGAAATCTAGACCTTTATCTTGTAGAGTTGGTACTGAAACTAGAGAGAAAAACAAAATTAATGATAATCCTGCTCCAAATCATTATTAATTCAATTAAGGAAATCCAGGACCCAAATTTCCGTATTTTATAGAAATTATAATTTTATTTAGATTTGGATCTGAATCAAGAGTAACAGATAGAAATGATGTAGGACCAGGACCTGGAACATATAATATTCCACCTTATTTTGCAAATGTACCTAATTACCTAATACCAAATAAAAGTCATATAGATTTATGATTTATATCTATTATATATGTAATATCATTCAACCCAAGAAATTTATCACAGTCAAAAATAGGACAATCATTGCTGCCAAATATTCCCAAAAAGCTCTTTCATTAGAAATTTCCATGTATTTAGTTTCAGGATTCAATTATTTTCTCAAACATACTAATAATTAAATTTAATAATATACTATTTATTATCAAAGCTCCAGCAGCTGCAAATATTCCAGATAGAAATGAATTTCTTGGAAAATCTCCTACTAATGTACAATAAAATAATTGAATTATCACTAATATAAAGCAATATAAAGAAAAAGCATCCATAATTTTCAATTTTTAAGGAGTCTTAGTTGAATATTATTACCAAAAAGAAGCTGCTATTCCAATTAATGAATTTTCATCAACAAATTTAGTATCAGACATGAATTTATTATTAAATCAATAATATTTAAAATGAATTTATTGCATTAGAAGAGATCGAATTCTAATCAAAGTTTAATTAAAGCACAGTAAAGAATTTCAAGAATTCAGAAATAGAGAGAAGCATGTTAATATCTAGTTAAATAGAAATCTTACTCAATTTTATAATTTTAAATGGAGAATGATGGAAAAATAAGTATAAAAACAAATAGAAGATTAATAAGATCATATTCTGCTATAAGGTAAAATGAAAAAAAAGATGTTAATAATAACTTATTTTCTAAGAATAACTCATAATTACTTTATTCCCCTCCAAAGATTCCTTCTCCAAAACATTCTTTGATGTTATAAAAGAAAACTGTGCTTACCAAATTTCCTCAGAATGTCAGAAAATCTTAGCAATATTTATTAAATGACATTTTATCAAATAAACCAATCAATCAATTTGTTACCAAAAGAACTCATGTAGAAAAATAAAATCCTTAAGTTATTTCTTAGAAAGTGTCTCCATCACCTTCTACTTATCCTTTGTATTAGAATATTTATATTCAATAAGATTATTTTCTGAAATTTAAAAGGATCCAATGAAATACCTTCATTAAGCCTAACAATTTTCCATATTATATAACTAAAGCTATTTACGTAAGTTACTCAAACATGATCAAAGATAATGATAAAAATATATATTATATTTAATATTTACTATTTTTCTATAATCTATCATGGGCATATGCTATTCTCACGATACACGAATTTGCTCTGAAGAATTTTAATCAATACCTCTTCCTAATTTATAATAAGAATTTACTGATGAATTTACCCAGTAGGAAAATTAGGTTACCGTCAGTTAGTCCAAGAAAGATTTTGATGCTGATTTACCAATTTAGACTTTGTAAAATAATTTAAACTCACATCCTCTTTCCAAAACTCTCTATATCATTTATAATAAATGTAGAATTGAGAGACCAATAGAAGTGGAATAAGGAACATATTAAGGATAATGGTTTGCAGGAAAATAGTGCGGTTTTGGCCGTATGTATTACAAAAATAAAGACTATTATGAAGGATTCTGGTTACTTGGTCGAAAACATCATATGGGAATTTTCATTTAAATGAATTAGCAACCTCTTATTGGAGAATGGTTTGATGATAAATTTCTTGGAAATGATATATCTAATAATCTTACAAAAGATTCTAAGCTCGCTTATTCTAATTTACTTAATGTACTTGAATTATTTATCATTATTCAGCTTTAACCTATTCAAATAAAGGATTAACTATACTATGGAGAGTATACAAACAATGGTAAATAAGGTTTTGGGTTGTGCATTTAAAAAGGAGAATATAAATTTATAGGGTATTTCTCAAATGACAAAAAATAAGGTTATGGTATTGAAATAACAAAGAGTGATGTTTATAGAGGTTGTTTTAAAGATGGACTTAGATGTGGTATTGGTCATCTAAAAAAGAATAAGAATTTATTTATAGGTAAGAATAATATAATATTATAAGGCTAGTTTGAAAATAATTAACCAACGACTAATGGTATTTCAATTTAAATTTGAGTAATTTTAATAAATATTTGTTTTTTTATTATGGATCACTTATCTTAAAGACAATTACTATAATTATTGTATGAAAAGGATTGTTATATTTAAGCACTTGAATAGTAATTAGAATTTAGTAGATAAGAGGTTTCATTACTAAAAAGTTAAAAATAATCAATAATTATTCAAAATCTTTCATCAGATGAAGATTGTAATTTAGATGAGAATTCAGAACCTGCAATAAGTGATAGTAGAGTAGAATAGTTTTAAAGTTCAGGCAAGAAGATTAAATTAAAGGCTCCTCTATAAGAAAGCAATAATTTTAATGTTTCTTAATTTAGACAATCTACTTAATACTTAAAACAGAAAGTATTGGATTCATTTGATATTTAAAATGTTACTATTGATAATTTAAAGGTTATAAGAAATAATGATTAATTATTTGATGATTTATATATTTTAGGATTAGGATTAGAATTATCAAATGATCCATAAGTGATATATTCATACAATTAAGTTAGTAAATATTTATAATCAAATTAGAAAATTAATAATATATACTTTAAATATCAAAATTTATATTCCCAGATGGATGTAAACCTAAAGTTATACCATTGTCTTTTAGTTTAGAAGATATTAATTTAATGATGAATTAAAATTATTCAATAGATTCTTCTAATTGTTTTGTTATTTTGACAAAATAAACTGAATAACAATAATTAAAATATCATATTTGTTATCGTTATACTGATTTTACTATATTAAGTAATGAATAAGTCAGATTTAGTAAAAGAGCTATCTGTTTAACAACAAGCAAATATTTAATTGACTTTTATTAACAAATTCTAATTGCAATATTATCATAATTAAAATGCATGAGAAATAATTTATATTTAAGAACTAAAAGTATTTCATAAATAGATACTAATTTCTTTGATAAGAATATTGCATAAATAAGTTTTAGAATTTTATCTTAACTTACTTAAAAGAATTCTCTTAATTTTATAACAATTAATAATTAAGAATTAAAAATATGTGAAAATGATAATATTTTATGGGTATAAATATTTGAAATATTAGGGAATTCCACAATTATTTAAGAAATTGAATTCTTAAAGTTTGATTAAAATATTTGTAAGTTGTTTAATTGAAAAATCAATTGTATTTGTTAGTAAATCACCATAATTATCAACTGCAGCTTGTTTATTATGCTAAAAATACTTACTTAAACCATTTGCATGGATCCATCCTATAATAAGTAATTTACCATTGGAAAATATAGTTTATTTAGGAAGTCCAGTTCCTATAATTGCAGGTTTAGAATGTGTAAATATAATTGATAAATTTAGAATTTTACTACTCTTTAGAGTCAAGGAGTTATAAATAAATTTTAAAATACTATTTTTATTAATTTAGATAGTAAATAATAAATATAATTTGGTAATACAGATGCTATTCCATTATTATCAGCAGAATTAATGACATATTTATTAGGAAGATTGGATTCTTACTTTTAAATTGTATAATAAAATCATAACAATTACAGTTAATGTCTGTAAATTTTTAATTAGTTATTTCATGCCAGAGTAATAAGAAATATTCCAATAGAACCAATTAGATAGAATACAAATTAAACATCTAAAAAATCTACTAAATTAATTTTAGATTATGACAAAATAGCCTTAAAAACATTATAAAATATGGGAACAATTAATGCAGATAAAGTAATATGGAAGTAGTTCTTTCAAACATAAATTTTTATATAATTTATTGATTAATATTATCATTGAACAATATATATTATAATTTATCTATCAAATAAATAAATAAATAAAATTATATTCAAGTATTCAAGAAATCATCTTAATTATTATTTTAGTATTTTTTGTGTTTTTTTATCTTTCAAATCAAAATATAAATTGAGAAGGATATATTCTAACTATTAAGGTTTATATCAATATCTTTAAAGACTAAGCTATAAGATTTATCATATTTCATCTAAATAATAATATTATTAAGTTTAGTTTAGTTTTTTTAAATTAATAAAAACTTATAATTAGTATATAGTTTAGAAATAAATACTGATCATAATCCAAAATTCCATATAATTATATCATATAATTTAAATTATATATATATTAATCATTAAAATCACAAAGATTAATATATAATAATATTCTCTAGTTTAATATGAATTTTTATGATTATTTCAATATATTTAAAATGAATTATATTTATGAAACCAGAGTTAGGAGTGATGTTTAATTAAGTTATATTAGATTTTAATTAATATAATTTAATATTGTTTGAATAACAGATTAAATAATTAATAACATGAGTTCAAATGCAACTGCTGAGAGATTAAAGCATGTTTAAGAATTGAGGAAAGCTCACTTTTACTTTGGATTTGATGAAGACACAAATAATCAATCCGTTGCAAAGCAACCTATACCAATGTAGAAAACAGCTAAAGTGAGACCTATGACATCTGTTGTAGAGAAGGATTAAAAGTTACAATAATAATAGCCACAATAACCAATATAACCTCCAAAATTACAATAAAATCATTTTCATTTGGGAGATGACAAACCTAAATTAGAGTCCATATAAAAATCTGACTATTAAAGACCTTAAAGTGCAGCTATTGCTAAATTAAGTGATGAAACCAAGAAAGATTTGAGATCTCATCATTTTTAATTAGGTTATCATGATATCAATAAGCCAACTGAATATGAATAGAATTTTGGAGATTAAGGCAAAAACAATGTTAAGAAGGCAGATAATGCAGATTTACGTAAACATCATCATGATTTTGGTGATACAAATAATTATTACTCTTCTATGTATGATACTGTGCATAATAAACAATATGATAAGGCTTTATTAGGATAAGGATACTCAAAAGAAAGAATGGCAGAAATGAATGTTCAATTAAGAAAAACTCATTTGGTTATGGGAAGAGATGGCAATGGTTATATAACATAAAATTAAGCTATATATGGGAAACCATAATTATAAGTGAATAATTTTCAAGACAAGACCTAACAATTAGTTAGAAATACACATATAACTATGGGTACAGATAGAGTTGAATATACAAGTTAAGCTAAGGCTTCTCATGTAGGAAATTAAGGTGATAGATCTATATTAAATGAGGCATAATTAAAAGATTTAAGAGCAACACATTTCTAAGTAGGAAATGATTAAGCTGTTAATTATTAATCAGCTTATAGATCTTAATTCTCAGATAGAAAAGGATAATAAGAATAAGTTAGAAATCCTTAATTTCAATAAAATAATTTTGATCTTAAAGATGAAGTTGTAAAACCTACAATTTAAGAACATTATAAAAGCACATATAATCAATAATTTAATGGATAAAAGGCTGAGAAAGTTAATCCAATAGTGGATAATTCTAAAAATATTATGATTGGAAATGATAAATTAAGTTATTAGAGTGAAGCATAAGCAAGGTTTAGAGATTTTCATTCGAAACCAGGAAAATTATAAGAAGAAGTCTAAGCAGAGTTAAGAAAACATCACTTTAAATTTGGAACTGATGAAGATACAACAGAATCAGTGGCAAAAGCATAATTTAAAAATCCACATGGATAACCAGGTAAAATGGATGCAGAAATGAAAAAAGTAAATTTATTATATAGATATCTTATAGGATTTAAGAACCCATCATTTTTAATTAGGTTATTGTAGAAATGATTATTAAACTCATTAAAAAGAATTTGGATCAAAATAAGGACCACCAAATAAATTACCTCCAGAAATGGCTTAAAGAATTAGATAGAGTTCATATTAGAATTGATTATATATTGATATATCATCGATTTTAGTTATAATAATAGTTGGTTATATATTTAATCGAATAATTATGATTAATCCATAAATCACAGTTTTTAATGTGTTCTTTAGGAAATTAGATTTTCTATAGAATTTCACATTTTATAGAAAGCTTAATCAAGAGAAGAGACAAAGATTAGTTACTGTTTGGAGAAGAGTGTTTCTGGCATCTTATTTTATTGGAATAATGAGATCCTTTTAGAATAGAGTAAAAATATATGGAGCAATAAGATAAGATGATCATATGGATTTAATAGAGGATGAAGTTTTTAAATCAAATTAAGAAGAAAAGAAAGTATATGTATTTTATCCAGATGAATAATTTAAAACAGTTTGGAATATGCTATTGATATTTTTATTATTGGCAACTGCAGTCATAACTCCATTTAAAGTTTGTTTTGTATGAAATTACATTACTATAATTAGATTGATTCTGGAAATGAAGGTTTTTGGTTTTGGGTAGATGTTATATTTGATGTTTTGTTCTTTGCAGATATTATAATAAACTTTATGAGTGCATTTTATGATGAGGAATAGAAAATTGTTGATAATTATAGAATGATAGCCAAATAATATATATATGGATGGTTTACAGTTGATGTTATTGCAGTTTTACCAATTACTTATTTTCTAGATGATAATACAGATACAGCAGCACTTAGATATAATAAATTACTTAGATTGATTCGATTACCTCGTTTATATAGATTAGTTCGTTTATTAAAAATTTCAAAAGCTAATTTGAATATTAAAAATAAAACATAAGCTGCTAGAATCCTATCTTATTTAGGAATAAATGAAGGTATCATCAAGGGATTGATTCTCTTAGGTAAAATCTTATTGATAAATCATTTAATTGCTTGTTTTTGGTATTTTATAGCAAAATTCAATGAATTTGATTCTAACACTTGGGTTGCTTAAGCACATCTTGATGATGCTACTTTATATAATAAATATATTGCTGCTTTTGAATGGAGTTTATAGACTCTCACAACTGTAGGTTATGGTGATATTAAGGCTACTACAATTGAAGAACGTATATTTGCTATTATTTGGATGATTTTTGGAACTGGATTCTTTTCATATACATTAGGAAAATTATCATCTATTTTGGAGAATGTAGATAAAAAATGGGTTGATTTTGAAAGAAGAATGCATTTATTTAATGATTTTTCAGTTAGAGTTAAATTACCATATGCTTTAAAATGCAAAGTACATAAATATTATAGAAATAATTATTTAAAAAATGTGTATTCATCTTTAGATCCTAAGAAATTAATATAAGAATTACCATCATAAATTCGTAATGAATTATTGATGATTTGTTATAAATATTTGATAGATAGTGTATCATTACTTAAGATTGATAAGAATTTTACAGCTACTATACTACCTCATCTCAATTTCTTAGAAGTCCATCCTGGAGAGATTATATATAGACAAGATGACCCACCTACAGACATTTATTTTATTGAAAAGGGAAAAGTCAATTTTGTTACTCATGATAAATATACATTAATTACTCTATTGGAAGCATCATTTTTTGGAGAAATAGAAGCATTTGAAGATATCAATAGAGAATATTTTGCTATTGCTAAAGAACCAACAAATTTGTAATTATTTTATAAAATACATATTTAGATTCTTTTGTTCATATGATATTTTTAGAAATCTTTTAAAAGAATTCCCTACAGTAGCTTCTGAGGTTAAAATAATCTATGATAAAAGGAAATCAAAATATAAAACTTGTTTATATATGATTGAATTATAGAGAAAACGTAATTCTGGATCTGATCCAAAAGAAGTATTCATTTACATCAATATAGGAATTATAAAATAGTACTTAATATTATTTAGGATTAATTGCTTAATATGAAGAAGAGTAAAATAGAATGAATTCTTCTAAAGGTTTAGTTAATACAAAGAAGAAAAGTGTATTAGATTAATTTTCTTTTAAAAAGAAATAATAAAAAATGTCTGTGTTTCAAACACTCAAATGATATATAATTAAATAATATATAATTAAATTATGAAACAGCAAAAAAAATTAGTGCTACATTTCGATTTGAATAAAACTATTATATTGGCTGATTCCAAATATATCAATTAAACTAAAGAAGAATGTGTATCATATAAAATCTTTAATTTTAGTTATAAGAAATATTGGTTGGATATGCATGGGGTAAATTAGAATAGAGAGATGAGAAATCACCGGTCTTATGGAAATTGTTAACAAATAACTTCACTCCAATTAGACCTGCTGAAGATATGATATCTTATAAAGAATATATTTGTTAACAATTTCCACTCAAAACTGAAGGAGATCCAGATGATATTACAGAATATAATAATAGTGCTATGTAAGATAGATTAACAATTTATTCTAGAGAATAAAGAAAACAATTATATTTTTAGTTTGTTAAATTAGGATAACCATGTATGAAGTTGAAACCGGAATATGATAGGATTGTCAAATTAATTGTATTATATTTATTATAAATATAAATTAGACTTTACCAAAGGCTGTAATTGAAGAATTAAAATAATAAGCTGAAGAATTTGGTTTTTTGAATGAAGATGAGGTTAAGTAAAGAAATTTAACATAATTGTTATCTGATAAGGATATGTTAAATAATTTATTTTCAGATAATAAATATTAATTGTTACCTACATTTTATAAGACTATAATAAATTTGAAAAAATAGAAGAGAGAATTTGCAATAGTATTTCGACCATTTGGAACTGATCCAAAAAATATATTAAGAGAATTTAATAAATTTTGTTTAGGAGAACATCCATGTTTTAGTGGTAGAAATAATACACCAATAGTTAAATTTGATGGATCAAAAGGGACTAAAAATTATATTGTTTTGGATAAATAATGTGCTTTAGTTTATAGACAATAAAAATAATTAGTAACAGGAACTTTAAGAAGAACAGATAAATAATAATTAGAAGATGGATATGAAAAAGAATTAGAAGAGGAATAAGTGTAAATATATAATGAAACATAAATGCTATTAAAAATAACTGAATCATTAAAAGAGAGTTGTGCTTTATGTTATGTTGATGATTTTAACTTTTATTAAGCATAACCAAGTGAATAAAATGCTAAATAATTATATGTTGATTAATAAGATGCTGATACACTTCATATATTTTTTGATGATGGAATTTAAGAGTAATATTATATTTTATATATATATATATAGAAATGAAAATAATATAGTTTAAGTGACAGATTGTGTAACATTAGAAAATTTAAGTAGAAAGAGATGTTTGAATAAATATTTAGTACATGTGGATATATTAGATGTTATTAAAGATCCTGATTATTTCATAAAATAAATTGAAATTTGTGAAAGAAATAGAAATGAAGAAATTGAAAGAATAGAAAAAGGTATACCTGAAGAATAAGCTGAAATACCTAAGAAAAGTGATTGGGAATTATTGGAAGAATGCTCTGATGCTGATTATCTTCGTAAGACAATATTACCTTTATTAATGCCTGCTTTATAATTGGTAGACATAGAAAGACCTAAAGATCCACTTGAATTTATAGCCATGTATTGTTTAAAGAATAAAGAAATGGTCAAGATTCCATAACCACCTGAATAATAAGAATGAAATATTTCTAATTTTATATTATTATAAAAAATCAAAGCAATTTAATTATAATATATTTCTTACCATTAATTTTTATTTTTGTTAAGGTATTGAAATATTAACATTCATATTTTTTTAAATTCAGTTTATCATCTATATTCAATAAGACTTCATCTAAATTAATTAATATAAGAAAATTGAAATTAGTATTATCAATTTATTAATCACCTTATAATATTTACATTTCATAATATTTATCATTTTTTATAATTTAGTTTTATTTGTATATTTATTAACAGGTATCTCTTTAGACATCTATATTTTAGATTAAAATTTATAAGAATTCAAAAACATTCTCAGAGTTATTGTTGTTTGTATTATAAGAATTCTCATTTCCACAAATATATTAAATTGCATCTCCTTCTTTGAATAATTGATTTTAAGAAATAGAACTAAAAAATTTAATTTGAAATAATACTTATCTTATATACATTGTCCTTTTAAAATGTATGTAATAATATCATTTTTTGGATAAAAATCTTATTTTAATTTTTCTGTAAATGGCAATATCCAGATGTCTATACTGATTGGCATTTAATATCTTGGATCACAGAATTGACCAAAATTAAAGAAATGCATAACTTCAAAACCACACCATTAATACAATTATGGTTTCAAAGTATATTGAGTAAGAACATATTCTTATATACAATTTTCAAACATAAATTAATAATATTTAGTTTTCTTGATGTGATTTATATTGAATATATACATATATAATACACTTGAATTCAATTATTTAATTGATAGCGGAACTGACATTTAACACATTCATAAAATACTGTTGATCCTTCATCTGCTGATCTTAATTGAGCAGTTGAAAAGTAGGCTTCTTCATGACTACATTTAGGACAGGCTTATTGAATAACAGCTCTATGTGATTAATCAGAGAGTTTAGACTCTTAAGGTTGATTAGATAACCAAGATTTTGGTTCCATTTTGATAGTTGAAATAATGTATTTAGGTTGATAATCAGTAATAGAACACTTATATGATAGATTGGATTAAATACTTTATATCCACAACGATTGCACTCAATAACATCCATGACTTCTGGAAGTTCTAGCATAAAATGACATTATGGACAAAAGTCAGCTGCACTATCGAGATTCATTAATTTTATTTTATTTGTGCTTTAAATTAAATGAAAGGATAGGTAAATATATACATTCTTAAAGTAGTTTCTTTGGGGATTTATTTATAAACCACTTTTTAGATTCAGAAGTAAACATTTTGCAAATAACTTAAGAGCCTACATTGAAGTTTCTGTAAAGTCCATATCAATTGAATAAAGATGATCTTATTAAGAAATCAATGAATATCCCAGATCATAAATTTGATTTCTCCCCTTTTATTCATGCAGATTCGACCTTCCTAGTCAATTAACAAAATATTTAAACTTTACGTTTATTATAAAAAGATTTTACTTCAGATCCTCAGAATCCTGAAAAAGCTTACAAATATGTGAGATAATTAAATCGCATGTAAATGTATGAAGAAGCACTTTAAATATTCAAGTAAACAGGTATCATATATGGGTTGACCTTTAGATAACTTTAGAGAAAATGCTACAATTAAATAACATTAACAATTATAAGAATAATATGGGATTGCATTAACTAATCTGAAATCTAATTTATATTCTGATAAACGTAAATCAATGATTTTACCAGGAGTAATTCAATTACTTATAACAGCTGCAATAATATATTAAATATTTTACTATTTTCAACCTAATCAAACAAAACCTAAAAATGAAAATACATAAAAAGAGAATACTGATTAAGGAGTAGGTAGAATGGATCGTTTTTATAATATATTAAGAAACAATTAGAGTATTTAAGAGGAAAAAAACATTCCTACTCGTTTTAATGATGTATTGGGAATTGATGAATTTAAAGAAGAATTAGAAGAAATAGTTGAATTTTTAAAGAATCCAAAAAAATATACTGATTCAGGAGCAAAATTACCAAAAGGAATTCTATTAGTAGGACCTCCAGGAACAGGAAAAACTCTATTGGCAAGAGCATTGGCTGGTGAAGCTGGATGTGCATTCTTTTATAAATCAGGATCTGAATTCGATGAGATGTTTGTTGGTGTTGGAGCTTCAAGAGTGAGAGATATATTTAAAGCAGCAAGAGCAAAAGCACCGGCAATTATCTTTATTGATGAAATTGATAGTATCGGAGGAAGAAGAAGAGCCTAAGATCCAGGATCTTCAAGAGATACTATCAATTAAATTCTTACAGAAATGGATGGATTTAAATAGACAGAAAGTGTTATTGTTATAGGTGCTACAAATTTTGAAAAAGTATTAAGATTTATTATAATTTTTAGGTCTTAGATCCAGCTTTAAAAAGACCAGGAAGATTTGATAAGATGATTCATGTTCCATTGCCTGATGTAAAAGGAAGAGAATAAATCTTTTCGTATTATTTAAAGAAAATAAAGTTTGATGAAAAGAAAGTATTACCATCAAATTTGGCGAGACAAACAAGTGGATTCAGTGGGGCTGATATACAAAATATGGTCAATGTAGCAATTTTAAATGCAATAAAAAATGAGAGATAGATTGCTATTACTGAAGATTTTGAATTTGCTATTGATAGAATATCAATGGGAATAGGAAGAAAGAATATGCATGTGAGTGATAAAGAAAAATTAATGACAGCATATCATGAAGGAGGACATGCATTAACTAGTTTATTAACAGATGGAGCTATGCCATTACATAAAGTAACAATTTTGCCTAGAGGAGGAGCCTTAGGATTTGTATATATTTTTTTTGACTTTCCTAATAGACAGCTATGTTGCCAGAGAAGGATCAATTGAATTATACAAGGAAAGGAATTATTGCATCTATTGATGTTGCTATGGGAGGGAGAGCTGCAGAAGATCTATTTCTTGGAAAGGATGATATTACTAGTGGATGTAGCAATGACTTAGCTAAAGCAACTGATTTGGCTTATATGTTTGTGAAGTAATTAGGAATGGATGATAAGATATCTTTGATTTCTATACAAAGTGATAGAGTGAAGACTAGTGATCAATTTGATTATATGGTTGATATGGAAGTCAAGAAGATATTAGAAGTAAATAATAAATATAGAATAAGGAATCTTATAATAGAGTCAAAACATTATTAAAAACAAATGAAAATAAACTTAAAGAGTTGGCTACAGAATTAGTAAAGAAGGAAACATTATCAGCAGAAGAAATTAGAAAGCTTTTACATATCAAATGATTCATACATTTATACAATCATTTTTTAATTAACGTAATAAATAAATAAAATTTATGGGAGAAGAAGATACTCATTCTGAAGGAGAAAATA